AACCGCAGTTCACACATATGTTTCATATGTTTGTTGTTGTTTAATAATTTTTATGTTTACCTTAAGAGCGTGTTGATCATAGTTATTATCGCTATCAATTACATGATCATTATCGACGTAATTCATTGACTTGTTGTTTTGAGAACTTTGTGTCAACACGCCGCGGAATAGTCATGTAAATTCCCATAGAGAACAGTGAAAGTCCTCGAACATTCGGCTGCACAATAAGGCAGCATTAAAGCCATTTCGGATTACTTACTGAATAATATTTGTTAGTATAATTTCAGAGCCGAGCAAAGAGTTTCCAGCAATCTGATTGGTCGAGCGGTTCGTTATATGACGCTATATAAACCGCTCCACGCGGTTTATATAAAATTTTAAAATAAAATGTTAATAAATGTTACTAAAATGTTATGATTTTAGAAATTTCTCTGTTGTTCAGCTCTGAAATTATACTAAAACAAGTATTCGCCTCAGGTTCGGTGAATATTGTCGAATAATCCCCTCGACTTCGTCTCGGGTATTATTCGACGATATTCACCGAACCTGAGGCGAATGATTGTCAATCATTAATTGTTACGTTTCATTTAGATGGCAAATCCGCGCTTCCTCCGTGGTCTTCACTGGACGGGATACCTCGCATCGAAGGAGGGTTATGTATTGACTACGGTGATATCATCACGACCGGCCCCAACTTGCTCAAACGGGAAATCAAAGAAAAAAATACAGTAGAAGATGATATAAGCTCTCCGCGAGATTCGCCCGACGAGGAACGCGTTTCTAGTACTTTGGACAACACTGATGTGACCGAAATAACGCTTAACGGGAACGCGGAAAATCAAATGGAAATTGAACAGAATGGCCATCAAGATGACAACGGTTTTGCAATGGAAAATAACTATAATTACCTTACCCCGGATATTTACGAAACAGAGCCACGAAATCCAAGTCAGGTCAGCGGAAGCTCGAGCGACAGTGGTTACCAAGGCAACAACAGTCATCGCCAAAGGAAAATAGGTGTTTGGAGGGTCACCTCTTGTGAGTGTAGGAATTATATATAGACTGGTAATACGGGATGCCGAATTTAAGGAGAAAAAAATCGCCTTAAAAGATCTTTGGTTATTCCCTCACCATAGCGAGCTCAAGCTTACATTAAAATTTCTAGCATAAATTTTGCTCTTTCAAGCTTGGAGCACCGAAAGCGTCGCCTGAGAGAATAATATTAATTGATTAACTAAGCTTTCTTGGAATCGCATCACAATATTGTCTGTCATATCTTTAAATCGCTCGATTGTCTTCCATCTTCTTTTTTCGTAATTACCTCTATGCACTCTTTCCTCTCTATGTTTACTCCAATTCACTGTATGTTCCTTACTCTCCCTTCCCCACCATATCTAATCTTTCTCTCCTCTGCTATTTTCTATTTCTTATTCTCCAGCTCAACACAACGTGTTCCGCTGTGGGAATAGTAGTCCCCAGTTCCTCTCTCCCCTGAGCTATCTCTCGCACCTGCACGTCCCAGGCCTTTCTGATATTTCTGACGTAAGGCGAAACCTTAGTGAGTTGAGTGTCACTTCCAGTGTCGACAGCGGTTTTAGAGGCAGTGGTCTTTCCTTCCGACTTCGGGATAGGTCTCCAGTCAGATGTAAGTGTACCGAATGACCATTCACGAGCACAGCATGTGACTTGACCCACAAAGGACCTGTTTGTAATGGATACTGACTCTTGATAGACAGCCGTCAAGCTTTGCACTTTGCCCGAACTGCACTGGCAACCTCTTGCACATCTTATGCAACATTCGCTTCATCTATCTTTCATTGACCGTAATTGTTTTCTGACGACATTGCTCTAAACTATGATTGTTTTTACATGACAAATGTACACCATGAATTTTGGTTGGTAGTGGTAACGGTTCTATGGGAAATAATTCAGAGCCTCTTAGGGATAACGCGAGGTAGTAACTAACTTAACATTTATCTATAACACTGTTTCAAATTATAATGTTTATTTTTTGACTTACGAATAAAACAGACAGTACTTTTTCAGATAGTATGTCTGCTAGGACGAAAA